AAAATCAACTGAACAGGTGTTGAAGAATTCGATTAAAACTAGCAAGATTTAATGATCATTACCAGAAGAAATAAACAAACATTTACAAGACGATAGAATAGATATCGATAACTCCATTTAGAATTCAGATAATACTCTGTTTCTATATGGTGTAAATTTGTATTAAGCGTACTCTTCACAATGAAAGAACGCATTAGGAAAGGATTTGTTTTTCTCATATGCAATAAGTACTGCAAATATATTTTATAAAGATAATGGTACCTTATGAACTATTTTTAATTTATGTATTGGCACATTTACATGCATTTCCACACATTTTTTAGGAAAAATTTGGCACAGTTTTAAATTTTGATTTTCCATCACTAGTATATGAATGAATCGATACAAGTAAATCCAAGTATATACTCGATACTTTTCTCAATTTACCAAGTATTTTTGCATGAGTGAAAGACACAAGATCACGCGCGAATGAAAGAAAGAAAAAAGTAATTTTCTAGCTGTCGAAATCTCGACGCCCTCTTTGTTGTAAGAAGTAAACAACGAAGGGAACGAAGAAAACCGCGTAATTGTTGAACGCATGAATAATCCCGTTTATTATACAAATTCTTCTATAAATCATGTCGCTGTGTTAAATTATTCTTTACCTTATGTGTGCACACGTTGTCACAAGCGAAAATTAAGAAAATTTCAGTAAAAAGCCACCAACAAATTGTGAGCAACAAACAAATATAAACAAACGGCTAATTATAAATAAATAAATAAATTGAAAGATAGTAATCCATATAAGCAAAGAAAATTGGGTTGCCAATGGAAGAAAAAATTTAAAAAGTGTGTTTTTTAAAAAGTATTCGATACTACGAGTACTTTGCAAAGTATCGAGTAAAATCACCAAATAAGGTAACGGGTATTAAAGTACTCATTTTTATACCCTCAGTATCGATACTTACTCAATATCGATAGTATCGTTCGAACCCTATATGTAGTTATTTTCATTTTTATTCCCATACCTAAATATTTTGACCAGAATGTTCGTCTTGTTTTTTATTCAAAACAATTCTAATTGAAAAATGCCTATTAAATGCAAAGGGAATTGTGGTAAAAATGCGGTACTTAAGGTAAGTAATGAGTCAGCTAAATATAGTCTCTGACTGAATTTTTATTTCCCTCTCCAGCGTCCTAAAACATCAGATGCCCTCTGTAAGGATTGCTTCTTTGCCGCATTTGAAGCAGAAATTCATTACACGATTATAACCAATAAGTTGTTTAGACGTGGAGAAAAAGTGGCCGTGGCGGCCAGCGGTGGGAAAGACTCGACAGTTTTGGCATATGTACTAAAGTTGCTAAATGAACGCCATGATTACGGGCTGCAGTTGGTGCTACTATCCATCGACGAAGGCATAACTGGCTATCGGGATGACAGTTTGGAGACAGTCAAGCAAAATCGTGATGATTATGAAATGCCTCTAAAGATACTATCATATGATGAGCTATATGGGTGGACTATGGATCGTATTGTTGCGCAAATTGGACGTTCCAATAATTGTACTTTTTGTGGTGTTTTTCGTCGACAAGCATTGGATCGTGGCGCAAAACTACTTGAAGTAGATAGTATAGCTACAGGCCATAATGCCGATGATATTGCCGAGACCGTATTGATGAATATTTTGCGAGGAAAGCCACCCCATATGTACTTATGGGCACCATATAGTCAAAGGGCATCTGACGAAACGTGTAGTCAAGAAAACTAAATATACTGCAACACCATTCTACGGGTGCTTTTACACTGCGGCGTTAATTTAATTTGAAGGTTGTGGTATGTACATATGGGAAATTTGCGTTTAATTTTACCGACATATAATCATCGAATGTGAATTATGTTATTGTGTCCATAGGCAGTTGAAGTGCAGCAGTGTTTTATAAAGAATAAAATTTCAACGAGGTGATGGCAATGGAATAAAAGACAGTAAAATCTTCATACATGTACATATGTTCTTGTTTAAATGCCCTGTTAATGACATATGTTTCACATAATGCAGACTGAATAAAATGTACATGTACATATGCACATATGTTCTTGTTTAAATGCCCTGTTAATGATATATGTTTCACATAATGCAGACTGAATAAAATGCACTTCAACGTTACTTGAAGAAATGTTAAATTTCCGATGTAGGACATATATTGGATATTCATACTTACATACATACGCATGTGAATAATGAAGCTACGCCAATATAAGGGCATCAGATTTCAAAACTTCTGCAGTAGTATCTTATTCTCCCAAACATAATTGTGATCCATTGGATAGACCAAAGAATAATGGCACGTGGGAATAATGGCAGCTGATTTTAACGCTAACTAATGCTACTGCTGATGTGGTACAAAAGTGAAGTCGACGTCGTGTAACTCGCTAAGGTACGTGATACAAGTAATAAAAAAGGTATCAAGCTACTATTCCAAAAACGAGATCTTACAAAATAATGCGAACGCCTTGGGGCAACGTCGCTCGTAGTTGCACCAAGGGTTTAATTTTTATATTAATTGCCTTGATTTTACCTATTTTTATTTGTTACGTTTTCTTAATGCTTTCGGTTTTCCTAACAGCCACTATTATTGATACGAACGTGTTTTGTTAGGAGTGGAAATTCTGGTTAAAAGCCACCGTCCTGCCGCGGATTTCTCGGTAGTGGAAACCTTCATTATGTTTGGCTGGTAATTTCTTCCGGATACCGTGAGTACCTTAACCTTGTTATGTATGTACGTATGCCTCAGGTTATTACCTTGTTTATACCGACACATATAGTTATTTGACTCAGTTCAAAGCGGATGCATAACCAAAAATTGCAATAAGGGTGAACTCGAAAAGCGTATAGACTCAATTGTTTTGAAATCAGTTTTGTTTCTCACATCGGTTGAAAGCAAGCATCAACGCATGATGCATTTAACGAGACGAGAAGTCAAAATTGGCTGGTATTCTTTATACAGCTCGTTTTTTATTGGAGTTATTGTCGTAATACATTTGTATTACTCTTCA